TTCATTGATGACTCTAATTAACTACAATTTGGAGATATTGCTATTAGAAATTGTCTTACCTAACTTAGTATCATATCAAATGGTCAAAAATTTCGCCCTTTAAAACTTCCTTCTTTACCCCCCTTAAATACGCTTGATATAACCGAGCTACAAAGAAGGATGTCACGAAATAAAGCAATTAGCTTTGATGGCGTATCTGACAATTTTATTAGGAATTGTAAAAATGTCCATATTTTTTGTGATATATGGAAATAATCTACAATTGAAACCAACTACGCATGCTGTAGAGCAAGACTAGTACCCTTAAACAAGGTTTTCCCCGATATCCCTACTAAAACTTAGTTTCGACCTATTACAATTCTAAGTCCCCTATTTAAGCTGCTTGAATTAAGATTTCTGCCAAGACTATAACAATATTTGTCCACTCGCTTATCTAAAGGTCAAGCAGGATTCATTCCTGGTTCATCTACTCAAATAAATATCATCAGACTCTTAAATACTTTAACTGGTTACAAGAAATAGGATAAAATGGATTGCATCTTTATTGATTTTAGCAATGCCTTCAATAGCATAAATAGATAAAGACTATTTAATATTTTATCTGCTAAATCAATTTTGGATGGCATCGAAATAAAATTCCTTAATCACCTCTATACAAATCTCCATTATATTTGCCCATAAATGAATACCACATTTTACTTCTAAAACGGTGTTCCTCAAGGATCTCCACTGTCTCCCGCACTTTTTAATATATATCTTGAAGATTTTTTAGCTTCATTAAAACAAAACTGTAATTTTAATTATACTTCCTATGAATTTGCGGACGACATTGTAATTATTATTGCTCATAGAAATATCCAATCCTTTTTATAAAAGTTGGTTTTAATTTCTGAAGAATATGAACTTAGATTAAACTAGAAAAAATGTGGAATCTTTTTCATCCAAAATCATAAGCGCTGTTAATATAACAATATATAAGGATTTCCTATTGTGAAATCTTATAAATACCTCGGAATAAATATATTGAACAATGGAAAAATAAGTCTATAGCTTGATAAAGTAGAATAAACTCTAAAATTTTTAAGTGGAAAGTTGCTATGGGTTTCTTAAAAACTTAATTGGAAGCAGAAATATTAATTATTCTAAACTTTTCTCCTTCCACACATACTCTATATTTGTCCTTCAATCCCAACCTAGAAATACAAAAACATATTTCAACGCTTATAAAAATTATATAAATCTAGCTTTAAAAAGGTTTGTGGATTTCCTAAATGCTTACCTAACGAATTTTTAGATTTGATATTACCCCCTCTAGAACTTCTTATAGCAAAGCATACAAATAAGGTTATCAGTAGGATGAACAACGGAAACTTTGGTTAAACTACTTTTATCAATAATTACTTTAACGAGATAGAAGAAATGAATTAAAATTCAATATACAAATTTCTCCCCAATAATTTTAATTAGCTGTTCTACCTGTACCCTAAAATCTGTAGGACCCACTAATGTAATCTTTCATACCGCCATATAATAAATTTCCATTCCAATTTCCATATTTCAGAGTTTTTAATAAATCTAAGAGGCATCTTCAATAATAATTAGTAAATACAATAACCAAAAAACTAATGTAATAGATTGGAAAAAATAATTGCAAAGCTTTTAACTGAATGATTGAGTTATTTTTATGTTAAATAGAATAATAATAATAATAATTAAAATATGAAGTCATCCAAGCTAAGCATATAATATATAGATGAGGATTAATTCCCAGATAAGGACCCAATCATAGCTGCAGAATCTAAAAGATGTTTCATTTATTATTGGATGATCTTAATGTTTACATCATGTCTTCTTACATAAGTCGTTGATAACTTAGAGTCTTACTACAGAGATCAAGGTATACCTGATCCAACTTGTACAAAAAACTGGTCTGAGTTTAATTTTTGTAACTAGGGGAAGATTAAATTAATGATTGAAGGATGAAGAAAGGTAGATAAAATCTAAATCAAGGAGCTAATCAAGGGAGATATACAGTGAGGTTCTAGGATTCTAGAGAAACACATCTAAGGTTAAAATAATAAGCAACTAAGAAATCCGATAATGAAAGAGAAAATGTCAGACGCAGATACAGTGAAGAGCTAACAATGTTTCTAAAATGAAAATAGACTCTTTAGGTGGAATAGTAGTAGAAGAAAAAACGTGTATGACTTCACCCAGTACCTAAAAATTTATCACACTTGGAAGGAGAAATTAATGGCTTACTTTTTGCAGTGGATTTCTTATTAATAGCATCAGACATGTAAGTTTTTTTAAGGAACACCATTTACCATGCATTGTGATAATAAGAAGTAAATTAGAACCTGGTTAAGGCACTCTATTTTAGAAGAAACTAGACGACAATAAAGAGATAAAAGAGGAATTCTAAGGTCTATTGAGATTCAGCATAGACGATATCGTGATGTGTCCGTTGTGTTCCTTTAGCTTCAATTGGAATGAGATATTCAGCACTCCTATCTAATCTCATTGTCAATGAAATTGTAAAGCTATCTACTTACCATTTAAGTTTTTCATTCTGTAAAATATTACAACAAAAGCCAAATCATATTTAGAGCTTAGTAAGCAATCTTTTTAGTGTGTATAATTTTGTAATCAATTGTTGTGTGACAATAGAGCAAAGAGTGCATACTTAGTTGTCATATAGAAGAATTCATCCCTATTGGTTGAGTAAGTTAAACTGAAACTATTATAATGTTTCAGGTGACACAATAGATTTAGCAATAAATTCTCAATAAATAACTTAGCATGTTATAAGAATCCCGAATTCAAGCAAGATAAAGAGCCACATTGACAAAGAACTGAAAGTAAAGGAGAAGATGAGTATTCATTCGGATCAACGTTGAGTACATTAATTACTTTTTGAAAGAGAATAAGATGTAGTTAATGAGGAATTTTCATAAAAGACAAAATGAATCAAACATGAAGGATCAGTTCTGCATTAATTGCAAGCAAGTACCATAATTATTACACTACATGAGATTAGGATGCTATAGTTATAAATAGGTTTTATTAAAGTAAAAAATTTGTAGCAATTACATATGAATCAGCATTGATGGCACAAGCAGTATTGGAATTTTAACATTTATCAAATTATTAGTGCTTTTATTCGAGCGAGCAATGCAAGTGAAAAATTGAATATTTAAATGATCAAACAATACTAGGAACTGGATCACTCTCTTAATTATATTTAGAGAAATATTTTCAACAGATAGAGTAAAATAAAAAGATTATATACCAATTGCAATTTTCATTTTAGCACTCCTTCCCAACATATCATATTGATCTACATATCAAATAGTTAAACAACTTTCACTAGTTGTAGATGATATCTAATATGATTTTTTTATATAACTTCATTTAAGAGCATCACAGGTTCAAGAATATTAAAAGAATTTGATGCTATATATTTACTTAAAACCAAATAAATTCACTTATAATAGGGACTAAATTTGATTGAAATATCAGCTCGCCTATTACAGGTTGCATACGAATTAGTATTGGGATAGAAAGCCTCTTTTGTTAAGCATGGCATTGCTGACAAAGATTTATATGGCCTAAGCATTTATGAATTTTTACTATTTAGAAGATTTATATAATAGCGTGATATAAAGAGGATGTAGGAAGGAGATCTAAAGAGAAAATAGGAAGAGCTGAATAAGTAAATGGTTAAGGGAATGACAAAAGGGGTTTAGTTTAGATATGAGAAATTGTATTACTAAAAGTGAGATTTATTTCAAAGTGATTAATGGAGAAGTAGTAACAAAAGAAGACCAAGAAATTCGGAGAATTTTAATGAGTTTAGAGATGATAAGATAGAATAGGTGATCTTAATTAAACCAGGTGTAACTTGTATCATTATTTAGTTGTAAATTGCTTAGAGGAGGCTGAACTACTTAATGAAATTGTTGATAAATTTTCTGCTGCTGAGTTTATGGTTACTTGAATTTGTAATAAACATAGTTAAAATTCATTTTTTCCTTCAGTAAAGGCTATTGAGTAATATGCTCGAAACTTTAGGATATTTCTTTAAGTAGTTTATTTCAAAATTATATAAATAAATTATTTATTTTTGATTTTCAGGTCTTCAACCATTGTTGATAAGAAGATTATTTTCAGCAAAATTTATGATAACTATTCCTCATATTAAATTATTCAAAAACATAGGCCAGCTCAACGGACTTGACCTTCGAACATTTGTTCATAGATTAAATTATTACGAAAATAAAGTTACTCATTTTTGGAGCATTCAGGTAAGATCCTAAATAATGATTTTAATTAAATATGAATTTGATATTGATTAAATTTTAAAAAGTTCCAATAAATCCTTAATACTGCTATTTGGTTTTCTTGCTTTTATTCACTTTATTACAGCTTTTAAAATAATTTCTGATAGTTAAAATGTTAGAATATTTTCTTCTATTTTTATTTAAATAAATTAGTATTTGGTATTACTTTAGAATATCTAATGATTATTTTATATTGTTAATATTATCATTTTAATGTCCTTTTTAAAATAGAGTCGCTGCCTTTTACAATTCAAAGTATTTAGTTCTAGGGAATTTTTTCATTTTCAATCAATTATTTTAGATCTTTTAGTAATTATTCTTTATCCAATGTTTAAATGGATTTTTTTTTAAATAATAAAGGTTTATTAGAATTGTTCTGCAATGAACTTCTCACTAACTTCATTCTTTATCTAATTGTAGTTCCTTCTCTTCTAAGATATTTAGTTTAATAATTCTGTATTTTTTTTAATTTGCATTCCTTTTTTCCAGATTATGCGTTGTATTCCTTCCATTATTTATCCACACATTCAAAATTGTTCGTGATTTAATTTATGGGTTCTCAGAAATACTATCAAAACAGACTAATCTATTTTCTATTTTCTTTTTATGCGAATCCCTATCGTAATAGTTTCTTTTTTCATTACTACAAATTCTACTTAAATTCTGTCCTTTCTATTATAAAAAATTAAGATAATTCAACTTTTTTTGTCAGTTATCAAGTGGAAAAGTTCAATTAGATTATTTTTCATGAAATCTGTAATTTTTTTTTAAACCCCTAAGGCATATGAAAATTCAAAAGAATGCAATAATTTATCAAATTATCTCGAGATTTTCATTAATAAGCATATCATCCTCTTATAATTTAATTGATTTCTATTAATCTTTGAAATATAATTGTGATAATTATTGTATATCTTCAAAGTAATTTAAGTATAAATCCCAATCTTATAATTCTCATTATTATTTTTAAATTGGAAACCTGTAATATTTATTGATGATTCTTTAAAAGGAGTCATCAATAGATTAATAGATTGTTTGAAGTTCATAATTTAATCTTAAATATTTATAATTATTGAGTCTTGCTTAATTCTCATTAATTTAATCTCCTTCTAAGGGCTTTTCAATTTATATGTTTAACAATTAAATAGTATCGCTTTCAAATATGATCTTCACTTTCAATTATAATATAAGTTTTAATTGATAAGTAAATCATAAATTTATTACAAATATCTATAGGAACTCTTATTTATTGAATTTTGACCTTTGATTACTCTATAGTCGTCACAGAAATTTAGTTTTTATTTTATCAACTAAACATTTACCGCAATAAAATGAATCTGTGACTTATTTGGATAAATCGAAATCAACAAATCCAATTCTAAATTATTGATTTTGTATATTTTTTCTTATTGTTCTTGTGATATCTGTCATTTAAAAAATTCATTTTATTATTAGAATTATTATTATCTATTTTTTCATTTAATAAACCTTTCTATATTAAGAATTAACTCTGATACTATTACTTATAATAATAACAGAATATATTATAAGTTTAAGAGATTGCAATAAAGATTGTGAAGACTAAAGCTAGAAGAAGAAGTAAATTTAAACACAACAACGTAAAATATTTTACCCAAAGAATGTTCAAAATTTTCAAATTACCTAACTATGTGAGATATTAATGATAGCTGAAATCACGAAACCATTATCTCTTGAGATAAATAATATTAATGTTAGTTTTATTCTTATTAATAATGCAGGTAAATGCAAAGTTTTTGAATTTGAATTGCTTTAGTATTATCAACTATATAATTTAATAATCTTTCAACTTTAAGTTTTCGATGGTTGGATTTTGCATGATCTTGCTTCAATTGAATACTCGCCTCATCATTTTAGTACATTTTGGTGAATTAAATAATCTCAAAATGTAATTTTACATAAAGTATAGATATATTATAACTCCATCAATTATTAAATTGCTGCTAAATCAATTATAACTGCATGTCAAACTTAATCTGTTGAAGAATCTCTCCTACGGTTTACTCAGCATCCTTTGATTATGAAAACTTTCTATATGGAAATTGATAATGCTAAATGAAATAGTTGAGTTTTTCTTAGAAGTATTATTATTGAGCTTTCCTCATATCATAAAGAGCTTGAGGAGAGCTGATTTTTCAACATTTTCATAAACTTAATCAATTGTGGTACAATCATAAATAGTAACTATGACTCTTAATAATCAATGGATCATGATTACAAATTAATATAGTAAGAACTTTGATCAAAAAAAATTTAACTTACTATTGATTTAGAAATTTAGAAATTTTATTGCATCCATAAATATTTAGCAGAGGAATAAAATTTCTTTGAATTTGAACATTTAAAAAGTCCTAATAATTCTAGATTTTGAAATTAAAGTAAGAATGGAAATTGATAGGCATAGCATATTTCAAATTAATTAAGAACCCACTGTCATAACTTTAGAGATGAGAGGAATTATTGATTACTGTTATAGCCTTAAAATTAAAGAATGGAACGAGTAGTTTAATGTAAAAATATTAGAAGTAGAAAGAAAAGTCTCTTTTGTAAGAGAATATGTTTATGTAGGCTACTAAATAAACTTATTTTTAGAATTGCAAATTTATTGTGAAATTAAATAGCTTCTTTATGAGATTTTTAGAAGAAACTAAATAAAAAATATAAATAATCTATAATTGTTCATTTATTTAATAATTCATATGTTGAATATGCTTAATTTTTCCTATTCCAATACACCAAATATTGTCCATTGTTTGTAATTGTTCCATATATACCATATGCTTCACAATTCAATTATTCATCAATTTTATACTTACCATCATTAATTTCTCTAATGATATAAATATATGACTTATGTCTTACTACTATTAAATTGCGATCCTTATTATAAATAATTGGAAAACGATATTCATCATTGGTTCGATTATTTGCAATTAATTGAATTGTCTTTTCCTAATTTTCTTTAAAGACTTCATGTTTTAATTCAAATACATAAAATTTATCTATTTGCTATTCACCAGTTATCCAAATAAATTAATTCTCTTTAATAAAATGAACTTTTGAACCACAGTCTTAAATTGATTATTTAACAAAATATTTAAATTCAAATTTATCTTTTACTCTTTGCTTTTCCCAAATAATTATTTAATTCTATCCTTATGCAAATGAAACCAATTAATTTTCTGATTAATTTAAACTTAATGATAAAACAGAATTATTATGTTTATCCAAAGAATACAGAAATGTCAATTTACTTTTATTAAACTCAACCTTCCAAACTTTAATTGATTTGTCAAAACTTCCAGAAAAAAGTAAATCTTCATTTAAATTCAATATAATACACATAACAACATCTGTATGTTATTAATAAGGTTCTGAACAAAACCAATCATTGTTGTTCAATTATTGCCAGCATCTCAATGTTTTGTCTTAAGAGCCTGAAATAAAAAAATTCTATTTTTTACTGTAAACTAAACATTAAATCTAACAAGTGTGCCCTTACAATGTTTTTATTAATTTGAATTTTCCATTTAGAAAACTCCATACCTTAATATCATTCTATTAGGTTGATACAATAATCGATCCAAATTAATCAAAAGCTATCGCATTGCATTATTCATTTTACTTAACAGATTAATCAATTAATTTTAATGTTATTTCATTTTTGTGTTATGAAAAATTTAATTAGTTGATGTTGATAATTTGTTATTTTATTTCTTTAAAGCTTAGCCTATTTTTATCTTGATTGTAATAATTTAAGTTATTACATAGCTTAGTTATCCAAGATGCATTAATATAATTAATGAGTTTTAAACTAGAATCATAAATAATATCCTTGTTTTTAATAAAGTTATCTAATTCATCATAGAAACTGTATTATTAGAATTATTCTCTTTATGTCAATAAATTTTAAATCCAACCTTCAATTATTCTCGTTAATGAATCAAATATTATCATGATATGTGTTCTTAATTCTTATGTATTTGTTTTGCAGGTTTGTAATTTTTGAATTATTTCTGAAGTAATACTTTCTAAATTGTTTAACTTTTTCTGGATACCATCTTCAATAATTTAGATTATTTTTTTTAATCCTATAGTCTTGGCCTCTGATTCAAAGCTTTCCATACATAAATTGCATAATAGTCTTTCTTTCTTGTCTAAATTTGGATCCAGCACAGCCAAATGAATTGGTTACATGTGTTTATTTTAACAGCAGAAGTTTTTTTCGTTTTCTATCATTTTAGGTTTTAACATTTAATTAAAATAATATAATTTATAGATTGAGTTCCAACGAATTTAATTCTATTGTAGTTTTTTGTGTAAAAATATGTAAATGGGACGTAATTAAATGGCCGCTTCAACTTAAAATGTAATTACTATTAAAGCTTCTTTGTAGTTCTACAATACGAATATTCCGGTAAAACAAGTGCTTATTGCAATTATAAAATTATATATCAAACAATTAAATAGCAAAAAAATATCATTTTTTTCTATTAAAACAAAAGCAGCAATGAGAGACTAAGGACCATCCAAAAAAGAAATAGAGTTTTTAGATTCACTATATCTTCCATATTAATCAATGTAGATTTGCCTTGAGATGATTCAAGGTATCAATGAAAATAGCAGAGAGACAGGATTAAAGGAAAGGATATCTAAGACTCACTGGTTAGAGGAATGAAGCAATCAATATAAGTGATGTCAGTAATACGTTGTGAATGAATGAAGCAATAAAGGGGATTTATTTTACAATTTCAAATTAAAAATTTAAGATCAGAAAAATTTATAAATGAAAGGGCCGAATGTAATCATTAAATTTTTGTTTGGAAGAATGAGGACAAATACCTAATAGACTAGGAGTCGCAACGACCCATACTGCGCGATTCAAAGTTTGTAAGAATTCAGAGGTATTTTGGTATTTAATTGAGTGTTGAAAATTATTAACTAAGTCTACGATGCTTAATTTGACACAAAAATTATCCAACCAATTGAAGAATTGAAGGAGTAAACTTGGTTTAAGCATGGAGCTTCATCACAATCTGACAGCATAGGTTAAGGAATGGATTCCTGTATTTTACTACTAAAGGGAGACCCACCTTTATTCCGTAATTTCTTTTGGGTGCATAAAACTAGTAGAATTGTTTTCAATCTCAAGCTACACTCTTTTGATCAATAATCGACTTCTCAAAATACAACCATAATCCTCTTAATATCAGTAGTGTAACAGAAATATTTTTCTAATTAGCAATACTCTAACTCTTTTCTCTAATTTAAATAAATTTTTTTTGACAAAAAGATCCTAAAATACTGGAATTTTTATTATTGCTCAAGAAAAATATTTTCAAAAGATTTTCCATTATTAGTTTTAATTCTTAAATACTCTTAAGTAAGTGATGCATCCTTTAAATGTATACTATTTTGTGCTGAGGGGGTTCAAGCAGATAGTCAAACTATTCTCGAAAAAATATAGGTTTATATATAATCAACTATTTGTAGTAAAGGGATTGAATTGAATTTAAAATTAACAAGTTTAAAAACATTAAATTAGAATAGAAAATATTTAATTTATAGAACTTACAACCATCAATTAATCTTCTCCTTAGTGGAGCTAAAATCTTTAACGTTAAAAAAATATGAACATTTTTAAAACTATTTTTCTTTAGTCACATTTTGAAGTTCCAAATACTCCACATCCATTAAAATCAAATCCTTGTAGCATTGATTATATACTTTGATTATATGTCATGGTTTCAAATAAGGAGTTTCAGCAATCGAATCTCAATCTTCCAAATATTGAGTTAAGATTCTTTAATAAAGGAGAATGAGTGTAAATGGATTAAGTCTACATATTTTTAACAAGGCAGCAAAAATTTCTATTTATTCGTTACTAATTTAAGAATTTTCCTTGCTTTCAAATTCATGATTATAGTTAATATTAATTAGAAGAGTAATTACAAGTATTGTTCTCCACTTTATTGCATATGTAAAGTTCAAAAGTACTCCTATTAAAATATTGAAAAATCAATGTTGTTTGTTTATTTGATATTGCCAACACATTGGACCCTTGATAAGGAAATAATTTTTGCAGTTTGAATTAATCGATATATGTTATTTCATAAGCAATTTTCTTGATAATAAAATTACAATTTTCTAAATTTTTTTTGAAGGACTTGAAATCAGATTTTAATTTATCTTATTACTTTTTCATATAAACATTTTACCATTATGAGCATCAAGTATAATTTGGTTTACAATAAGTTAGCTTATTTATTATTAAAATCTCAATGGTCAAGAAGCTTATTCTTAAATAGTGGTTCATTTATAGATCATATAGTGTTTTTGACTGCATTAATCTATGATATCTCAATAATTTTAATATTATTTGTTTTATTTATTGAAAATATAAATTTCACATAATTTTTTTTATTATTATATTTGCATACTGTTTTAATTAGGTTTAAAATAAATATCTAAGTCCATATTAATAATTATTGTTTTGGCAATTATATTTTAACAAGCGTTTCAATTAGAAGTTATCAATTGTTTAATGTAAGTAAATAGTAGTTATTGTTTAAAGAGAATCAGTGAAGATTGTAACTCTAAACTAGCATTCAAGGCTGAACCCCATACTTTATAGTAATTATATTCTTTAAGAAGGATTTAGTAATATACTTATATAATGGATCTCGAAGCACAATATAAAATGAGGTTTAACTGACAAAACAAAATATTTCATTTGTCTAATTATCTGAAATATATTTCCAATATCTCCAACAGAATTTGAGAAGAAAATAATTTCAGCAATTACATAATGTACAAAAGCTAATAAATTATTTAGTAATATTCTTAATGAAACTATTTATTTATTTAACCCCTTTAGAAAGAGTATATAATTCTAGATTCTTTTTTTGTCACTTTTGAGATTTCTTCTAAGCTTCCTTTAAAATTAGAGGCTAAAACCTAATTCCCATAAAAATTTTTACAATAACCTTGCAGACTTAAAATGTATTTCAATCTTACATTAATTTTTCACAATCCTTATCAATTCTAATTAAAGTATGAAAAAATAATGTTTTAGAGCCTACATAAACATTATTGTAACTGAATAATATTCAATTTAGCTTAAAATATACTTTAATTTCTAAACTCAAAATGCTAATAAATATATTCACTTTCTAAAATGAATATCAAGTTCTCAAAAAGTAAAATTTGAGATCACATTGATAGCTTGAAGATAGATAATGAAATGTTAAACTTCTTAAATAATGTCAAATTACATTTCTGTTAGTAATTAAGAGTTTTAGATTCTATAGGTTATGTTGTAAAATTTGTAAATTAGCTTACAATGAATTTTTCAGTAGCATAAGCTTCACATCCACTTTAACACATATTTTATTAAGATAAAATAAGTTCTAACGATTTAAATAATTTTAAATTAATTTTTATATAACACCCTCTCAAATTTTAAACTGGTAGATACGAACATTCTATTTAGAGATTTCGATCAATAAAGTTTTAAATCATTCCATTTTTATAATATCCTCTTTTGCTTTATCGTTATATAATTTCCACTTTATATTAAGCTATATGAAGATTCATATGTTTATATAAAGAGAATCATTAAATATTAGTCTGTTTTGTAATAATCTTCTAAAATAGGAGATTGACTGTTTATTTAATAGGTTAAATCGAAATTTCTAGCATTCAGATTTTCTGAATTAATTGTGATTGCAAAGATGAGTATTTTATTTTGCAAAATAAAATACTCCCCCTTTTATTCTAGTCTGCCTAATGCAAAATAATATTATCATTTCTAGGTCTATTAGATTGCATACTATTTTCAAATATAATAAATTATGTTAATAGATGATTTACATTTTGCAAACATTTTTATATAATCACAGAGAGAGAGTATTTATTGATTCTTTATCTTGACCTTCAAGATGAATTTATTTTCAATTAAGTGAAACAATTTATTAAATTCATTAAGAAAAATATAAAATGATTAAAATGTTATCTGAGTCTATAGGGCTATAATATGAAAATAGCACTTGTATTAATAATTTTTTTGGTAAATATTAATGGAAGGAATACAATATGGAAACTGAAAACATATTCAAAGTATATAAAAAGGAAAGCAAAGAGAAAAAATGTGAACTATTTAATCAATTAGGACAAATGATTCGTTCTGTATTGTTTTCTCCTTCTTATCAAGCCTAAAAATTAAAGTCCTCCCGTAGAGAAGTTGTTCCATGCTTTATCCTTCTCTGGGTTAGGATCCCTCATGAATAATGTTTTAAAATGAGGTCATATTCCTTAAATGTCTTGATAAGAAGCTCTGTGTCAAAAATGTCTTCATATTTCTCATAATGTGGAGAATTGAATAGATAAAACCCTATTAGAGTGTATTATCATGATTTTATCTCTTTATGTAAATTTGGATATTATTTGTTCTTTATAATTGTCTTTCATAACGTATTGAACAAATTATCCTAACCCTAAGCTCTTCTGCTTCTATAAAGGTTGATAATAATATTGATATTAATTATGGAAAAGAAATTTGGCCTCCTTTGCTCTAGTTTTACCAGAATCCTATTAATCAAGCATATTTTGGAAACTTAATTTATTGGGTTACTAAAATATTTAGTTGTACTTTTATTAATATCTTAGATTATAAGTTTAATATTAACTTATTAAAAATCTATTTAGTGAATCACAAGATAGTAAAATATTTCAATCCTTAATCTATATTTTAATTTTATCATATTTCTTCAATTGATTTACGGTTTAGTTAATCAACTATAATTTAATGGCAGATTGAAAATTATATAGTAAAAATAGAACAGATTTCTTTAATATGCAAATGTAGCTAAAGTAATTAACAAATATTTTCATCTCAGGTGTTCTTCGTTCTCATTTTTCTTAAACTCAAATAAATGCTATTGATCTAATGTGAATTTTATTCGATTAAAATTAATTCTTATCTAACTTAATTATACAATACCATTATATGTAAGTAAGACTTTTCTATAATATGTTAGATGTGACTTCACAACAATAATATTAATGTCTAAATTATTAAAATCAAGAAATTTTGAAAAAGAAGAGTTTCTATTTGAAATTTATTTGATATTAGTATTAACTCTTAGATCTCATGAACACCACTGTAACTAAGTTCTTGGTATTATCTCTAAACAACCTTCTACACCTGATCTACACAGTATCATCAAATTTTCAGAGAATTTTCATCAATAGAAATTTTAGGCTTTAGAAATTAATCCACTAATTAGGGGGTTTATGTTAATTTCTTCAATAACATTATAATGGATCCTCAACCATCATGAGTCTAAAAATTCATACGACTGTTCATTTTATCTTCACATATGCCCTACAAATTATTTATGAGTTAGATCCCAATACTCAAAGAAGGTATCTTAATTATTAAATTTCAAAATAATATCTTAATAAACTGGGTTCTCTCTTAAAAAAAAATGAATTACTATTAATAAGATTATTTCCACAGCTGAACATAATGTGTTGAGGAGTAAAATTTGAATGCATAATTAGATTACTAGTTGTAATTGCAAATGATAATTATTTACAATATAAATCCTTGTTGTGATGTGAATAAGTATAACCAGCATAGGAGATTAAATATGTTCTATTATTATTATAATTATATACCCATACCCAATTTAATATCATTCCTGATAATTATTTTTCTACATAATCTCTCTAAATCCAATTCCAACCATAAAGCATGATCCACTAATGATTTAGAATGCAAATTATATCTTACCATTCTTTGGAATTGCTTAATCACAAAGACAATAATACCAACCACTATTACTTACTTCTGCCACTACTTTAGCACCTTCAGTTACTTAACAGCTAACATGCTTATAAGCATTAGAAAATGATAATGATTTGTTATATTATTGAATCTCAAAATAATAGAATAAATATACTTTTTATATTTCCATTTTAAGTTAATTTTCCTATTCTATCTTGACTTTATTAATTTAATCAAGTTTCATTAATGCTTGTTGTAATTCTGAATTTTTTTAAGTTAAATTTAGATTAAATTCTTATTTTACTTTATTATCTATCAAATAACAAAATAAGTATTACATTCATCTTCAAATTTCTTTTTATTTTCTTCATATTACATTTTCATATTTACATTATCTTCAACAGCTTTTTCATATTATTATTTTATCTTTTGTTTTTCTATTTCCTTTTGTTCTAACTAATTATTTGTTTCATTGAGTTTCTACTCAAATGACTTTTACATAGAATTAATTAAATTATCTTCTGAATATAATTTAATATGATTACTTTCAATTTCCAAATTTGTATTAGTTTCTTTTAATTTTACTATATCATTCTCCAATTATCTAATCGTACAATATTTTTTCAATTATATACTATTATTGTGAAAGGTACTCACATATTCATTCAATATATTTGATAATTTTGAATATTAAGATCTTAATTATTCTGATTTCACATCTTAATTTTATGATTTTATTGATAAGTGTTATCGAATGGATTCAATCTTCTAAACATGATGTTAATAAACCATAATTGTTTAATCAAATTTATTTAATTGACATTGATATTTTTTTGCTTAATCAATGAATTCCTAAATTTCTTTAATTAAATTAATTTGGTTTTTGTAGTTTTCATCCTTTTATGCCCAGTTTGAAATATCTTAAATCATATCAGTTAATTAAATAATTAAATCTTTTTCAACTATAAAGTATAATAAATTTGATACTTGAAACTTCTTTCAATATTTCCAATGATTGTTAAATATCTTATTAATCATATTATTGTAAACATTCTAAATGATATTAAATGTCTTTTTTGAAAATCTAATCTTTATTTTTTAAGTTTGTAATTGTTTGACTTTATGATGCTTTTTCTTTTTCAATTAATTACCTTAAATCCTTCAACAATTATCCATCATCTAATGTTTTAATTGAAATATTTTTTATTTAATTGGATTGTTTAGTTTTATCAATGCTTAAGAATTATTCAGCAATCAATTTTTCACTTATTTCATTCAATTGTTTATTGTTATTCCTTCTCATTTGTCCTAATTGATTAAATAGTTCACATTTTTTCTCTTTGCTTTCCTTTTTATATACTTTGAATATGTTTTCAGTTTCCATATTGTATTCCTTCCATTATTTATCTATATTTTCAATATTTTGATATTTAATTTATGGATTTTCATAAATACAATCCACACATGCAAATCTATCTTCTATTTTTTATTTTTATGAATCCATATAATCATAATTATTTCCTTTCTATGATTATTACAAATTCTACTTAAACTTGGAGTTTTCTATTTATAATAAATATAATTTACAAAATTATTTTTTTTTATATTTGAATGAACCAATTCAATTACATTATTTTCCAAAATATTTTTAATAGTTTCTTTTGTATTCTTAAATGTGTCTATGGTCTAAAAGTATTCAGAACTATTGAATAAGAGTTCAAATTCTCTTTATATTTCATTAATAAAATTATTATCCTCTATTAATTTAGGTGATTACTGCTATTCTTAAGAATATAATTCAGACAACTATTTTAGATCTTCAAAATAATTTAATTATGATTCAAATTCTTATAATTCTTATTTTTCTTTTTAAATTGGAAATAAATATTATTATATTTATTTATACATCTTCTCTAAAGAAGTATCAATTGATTATTTGAAATCCATAATTTGATCTAAAATATTTTTATAATAATTGAGTCTTGCCTAATTCTCTTTAATTTTGATATCTTTTTAATATGACTTTATTTATTAGATTCTCTCTTTGGATTACTCTATAGTAGTCACCTTATTATTATTTAATTACTCAACTAAACATTTCCCACAAAAGAATTATATCTGTGCCTTATCTGATACATCCAAATCAACTGCAATCAATTCTAGATTAAACTATATATTTAGAAATACATCTGGCTTAAAGTGCTATGAAGATTTTAATAAATAATAGAGAATCGGCAACTGTCAATATTGAAAGTATGTGAGTTGGATTTATTAAAAAATATAAAATCATTCGTTTCATTCAACTTTGGAGGAGTTTTTAAGTTAGCTGTTAGTTTTCATTAAATATAGATTTAGCGATTTATTTACTATTTTTATTTTGAAAAGATGCTAATTGATTTCTAAAACAGTAAGATTTATATTATTAATCAAAAGAACATTTATAATATGACTTACTCATTATTTAAAACCTAGAAATAAAATTTCATTAATATTAAAATAATCTATGAGGAATTCAAGTATTTAACAGTTTCTTATGCATTATAAAAATTTCTAATAAATTTCTACTTAGAAGAATGAAAATCTAACAGTAGAAAAATTCACTTTTAATTGAAGATATTATGGACACGCTGACTTTGATTCGCTTAAAGCTATCAATGATGATATTTCAGAATATTTACCTTATAATCATAGAAATATATATATTTTTATCAAATAAACATATCTATATACAATCAAATCATGATAAGGAACATTAATTTTTATACTCATAATATAGTATTAAAATTCAATATTTATTAAGATGTTATTGTTTTATGACCTCGATTTAAAATTTAAACTATAATTCCTTTAACTTAAAGGCTTATTTTCAACATATTTGATAATGAACTGGTTGATGCTATCATGTATTCTTGGGTTGCCTCTATTATTCTTCCAATAACAACTCCTTTTTTTGCACAACGTTATTTTGAATAAATTCTAAGCTTTTCAAAATCTAAAAACTTAATAAAAATGAATAGCTTTAGATCAGTCTGATCCTATATTTTGAAATATAATTCTAACTCGTTTTGATAATTTTCGAAATAACTATTTTACCTTATCATGATAATAATGAAAACTAATTTAGTTATTATTCTAAATTAATCAAATTTCTATTTTCAATAATTATTATAATAATGATCCAGAATTCGTTTAAGTAAGCTTAATCTGATAAAATTTCAGAGAAGGAGACCTAAAGTTGCTTTAAATTTTTCTTTACAAAAATCTTATATGACAGGAATTACTTTTGATTAATCATAAATTGGATTTACAAATATCATATTAAATTATGAAGACACTTAGACTTTTGTAAGTATGGTTACGTTTGAGAGAAAGATGAGTCAACATACTTAGTTGTTCCAAGATACAAACAATTGTCAATTCTTAACCAAGTTTTCAATAAGCATAGCATATCGTGATGCAATTTTCTAATTCAAGGATTCCAAATAGAAAATCCTGATGGATTCAAATTCTTTTATAGATTCAGCTTCTCTACATATTTAGTTCAGGAATTAAAAAATACTTGATAATTCAGATTGTTTACATTAATTAATCTCTTCAATCCTTCAAAAAATAATATCAATAATAGTTACTTGATATATTTAGATACTCTATTTCAATACTCGAGTTTTAGATTAAATGAGAGTAATTTCAATCAACTTATTATCACAGCTATATACAAACAGATAAACTTTCTTTGCATCTTTCTGATAGTAACAAAAGATAGAATAATATCATCATATCAATAATGTTGGGATTGAATGGACGAACAAAATACAGAAATCTAATTGGAAGAATATCAAAAATTAGATTTAAAAAATAAGGAAAATAATAAGGAAACAAAATTCATGAACCAATAATTTAGTCAATAATATAAGATCTTTAAATAAATCAATTATTTTAAAAGTAAACTATTAACTATTACAAGAAAAGGAATTAAGACAAAATGGCAAAACCCAATGTTAGATTAACCAGGATGTTTTGAAAAATGGGATCTTAAAGGCTTTTTTGTTTACTGGTAGACCTCCATAAGAGCATTTAGTGCTTATAATGGAGAGAATTAATCCATAACCTTCGATTATTTTATATTAAAAATTTTCCTATGTTAATTAAGAATAAATATTAGAAATATTCTTAAAATTATCAAAAATTAGTTCAACTTTCTTAATTATAGAATGGGATGTGATGTTTTGAAATTTCGACCGCACTTAAGGAAAGGATTTAAAAGAATTTTGAGTATTTTCATTTCATTTGTAAAAATTATGTGTTATTTGAGAAATATTAATAAATGCAAAATTTTTAGAAATATCTATGAATTAGAAGAGGAAATCAGTAAAAATTATATTTTTTATTGTTCTTCTAAAAGAAATAAAATAAATAATCTAAAAATTCATAATCACTCATTTATTTAATAATTCATATGTTGAATATGCTTAATTTTTGTCATCCCAATAAACCAAATATTGTCCATTAATTGTGATATTTCCATAAATCAGGTAAGTATCACAATTTAATGAATCTTCAATTTTAAATTTCCCATCATTAATTTCTCTAATGATATATATATATTTCTTATGTCTTACTACTATTAAATTCCTTTCCTTATTATACAAAATTGGAAAGTAACATTCATCATAAACTTCATTATTTGCATTTAATTGAATTGTCTTATCCTATTTTTCTTAATAGACTCCTTAATTTAAATCAAATACATAAAGTCTATCTATTTGTTTATTACCAGTTATCCAAAAAAATTAATTCTCTTTGATGAACTTAACTTTGAACCCAAAGTCATTAATTGA